GGAGGGGCGGGGCCTCCTCGCCGCCCGCCCCTGCTCCGACGCCCCGGAGTGGGCGGGGCCGCTTGTCGCCCCGCCCCACCTCTCGCGGCGGAGGGTGCGGGGCGGGGCGGCCTCACGTACCCACTCGTTGGCGCGGTGCCCGAAGGTGTAGAGCGCCACCTGGCTGGCCACGTCCACGATGCTGCTGATGTAGGGGTCGTGCTGCTGCAGCGCCGCCAGGCTGATGTCCAGCCCCTTGCCCAGCAGGGCGGCCCCGGCCACCGCCGCCGCCATTTTGCCTCCGACAACAACACAGGGTTCCTAGTAGGCGCAACCAATCCAACGCCGAGAGGAAGGGCGGCGGGTCCCACCCCCGCCCGCCCAGTCGGAGGGAGAGCGGGCGGGAGAGTCGCAGCCCAGCCGCCGCAATCGAGCGCCGAGCGCCGCCGGCTCAGGATTGTTGCCGTTGGCGACGGGGCAAGCTGAGGGGCGGCCTGGCGGGGCCCGCCCGGGCCGCGGGGAGGGCCAGCCGGCTTCGCAGCGCCTCCTCCGGCAGCGACCCGCCTGCGCCGGCAGGTTTTCCGGCGGTGCCTGGCGCCCTTCGTTTTCAGGCCTCTCCTGCCGCTGGGGAAGCCGCAGGCTGGCTTCCTTTCCGGAGGGGCAGCTGCGCGCCAGAGGAACAGCACGGTTCCCGCGGCTGCAGGCCTGAGAGAACCGGCGAAACTCGGCGGGAGATGCCGCCAGGGCGCAGGCCCTCGCTGTGCCGAGCAGGGAGTCCTGCGCGCCCACCGTGTGCCCCTCACCCTACGCGGGAGAAGGTGTGGTGTGCACCACAACATACGCAGCCTCCGGAGAGTGGGGAGCCACACAGGCTCGGCCTTAAATATGCACGGAAGCATTTGGGCGCACAGGTGTGCCTGTGGAGAGAATGCCCGTGTGAGACTGTGCAAAGTTAGCACACGTATCTGTAAGCACATGTATCCATAAGGACGTGTGTGCTTCTTGTGTGCTCACACGTGCACTGATGCAACGCACGCACAGCGCTTGGAACAGGAAGAGAAGTTGGTTGAGATCCATGAACATACACAGTCTGTATTTGCCAGCATATGCTCACAGACTTCTGCATGGAACTTCAGGGAAAAGGAACACGAGTGCAAACTAAGCCATCATACAGCCCTTGTGTGTGTGTATATATATACACAAACATACATGTGACAAGCAGCTGAAACATAAACAAGCATACTATGATATGGAGATATACAAACAGCAGAGGAACAGATGGACAAGACCATGAATTTAGTTACCATATTTTCCTGTCAGACACACATATTTATTATTAATCTATTGATACCAACAGTTTACAGCAAATACATGAGCTTTATGTGGCATGCAGATAAACTCAATATGTACTTGATCTAAAAGATTTCCTTAACTGTCCAGCCGGAACTCCCTGAGACAGCAAATTTTTTTTATTTCATCACCTCAGACCGATGTAGCAATTTTGGAAGGAGTTACCACCTTCTGTATGGTGGTAACAGAAGCAGTAGCGTGATATATTTCCTTCCAGAAAAAGGGATACCCTGGAAGAACCAAAGGCAAAGGTAATGGATGCTATCTTGTTTATTTGCAGTATCCCTGACACAGCATTTTTAAAAGGGCAGTAGTTGGTCATAGGGGATGAAGACTGCCATTTTGTTTTCTTCCCTCCTTTTCACTCTAGGCCAGATGGAGCCTGTGGGATAGAGTGAGCAGTAGCATCTGCTCTGAGAGCAAACGGACAAGCCCAGATGAAAAAGCTTCCATAGTGTGAAGTGGTGATAGCAGAGAACTGAGAGACAGCAAGCTGGGAATTCATAGTACTAAATGTAGGGACAGTGAGTGTCTACAGTGGAGTTAGGAATGGGCATGGTCTCAGAAAGGACAGAAAGAGTGGCTGTTCTTTGGGACTCAGGAGAGAGTATATAGGTTTTGTTGTAGCCCAGAAGGCCACTAAAAATTGCATTACCAAGAATAAGGACCTACAGCTTGCTCTGCAAGCATATAGTGGGAGAGGATATCTCTATATGTACTCTTTTATTATAATACATTGCACTCTTAGTTCCTTTTTTTCTAAAGCCACCTTGTTTCAGTTGCAGCTGTAGTGAAACACAGCTTTAGAGTTCAGAAGTTTTTAAGTGGTTTTGGTATACTTGTGGTAGGAAAACAGCTCTAAGCAGCTCTATTGCGAAGCTCCAGCTGACTTACAGATCCTGTAACAGCAAGGAAGATATATGGGCTTATGGTGGACAAGGGAAGCTGCTGTCCTTGGTCTGGAAATGACCAGAGTAGAATGGCAAAAACCAAAAAGTAGTAAGTAGGAAAGATAAGTCATGTTGCTCAAATAGTGATCAGACGCACAATCAATTCTTTTTGCTGATTAGATAGTCCTCAATTCCCAGTTTCTAGGCACACCTAACCACATTCCTCCTCATGTGCTGCAGTTTCTCATTACCATCTCATCTCCAATTCTTTGGCCATTCTCCTGCTTACAAAAAGTCCCAACTTGTAATGGAAGTGTCAAACACTTTTCCAGATGCCTTTGTTCCCTCCAACAATAATACTTACAAAAAACATGCCCTCCTTTTTTTTTTTTTTTGTGGTGGTGGGGAGGGGTTATTGCAAAGTCCCATAACGAAGAATGTGTTATGGAAACTGTATTTCAAAGGCTATTCATTTGAATTGAAAATAGTTATAACTGTTATTGTGTAGGAGAAAGCAGTATACAGAATTTAGAAGGGGTATTGCAGCCCTGTTACAACTGAAAAAAAAAAATGTTTGAAGCAGAAATAAGGTGTCTTTCAACTTTTACAACTTACCTTGTTTCTGTTGTTGCCCCTCTTGTCAGGCCAAGCAGTAACCAATACTTGAAGCCTTGCACATTTGTTATGTTAGAGAGACAGACTGACAGGCTCAAGTGTGTCTCCTGTGCCCTTCTCTTGACATAGGAAGATTGTAGAGTGTCCTGTTTCCTTGAGCTCCATGGAAGAAAACCCAACTGTGAGGGTAAATATCCTGAAGAAGGCTTGTCAAAAATTTCACCTGTCTGTTTTTGGTGGCCTGTTTGTGGATGCTTTTTTAGAACTACCTCCCTCCTGGATTACTGTATCCCTTTCTAACATAGCTGGACAGACAGTTCCCTAGCCCTGTGTTTTGAGTCAGCAAACCTGTCAAGCTTCTGATCAGGCCTTTTTATATTTTCTGTTGCACTGTGAGGTAGCTTCTGCTGGTTCCAGCTGTTCTGCTATATAAGTGGGATGTAATTGCTCCTTCCATTTAGCCTGAAGTAAAGGTACTTAATAAAGCCATTAGTTCTGCCTTGCTTTATGGGATCACTTGATAGTAGACTAAAAATTTTCCAATGAAACAAGATCTTGTTAAGAAGAGAAACACTGAATTCTCGCTGCATCTAAAAAGTTAAGGACGTTTTAGCAAAAATGTCACAGCTTAAAAAGGTTGATTCTTTAAACTGCAGTTATTTGCTTACAGTCAGTAATCCAGTAGTCCATAATAACTATCAAATTGAGTTAGAATGATTTTGCTGTAATTTGTTTATGAAACAAAGTAATTTTCTAGCTTTCAAAATGTTGTAATTTCATGAAGTATATAATTAGAATGTCACATTTTTGTCCTCCACCCACCTGGATACTATTCTGTTAAAAAGCCCCACACCTATGCTGTTGACGTGGTATGAAAGACATTTTGTGTAGGTAATATCCAGACCGATTTAAGGCAAAATCCACACAGCATGATGTTCTTAAGGTCTCCATTAATAATAAACATTAAGATGGTTAGGCCAAACCTTTTCGCAAGGATTGTTCAAACAGGTATTAAGCCTTAGCTTCACATTCAAGAATCTATGGCACTTCCAAAGATGAAGTCATGCCTCCTACAGCAAATTGTTGACACTGAGGATATGATTTTATGTGAATATACTCGGTGGCACTGCTGAGTGTGCACAACCCTTGTCC